TATTTTATTTTATTTATTTTGTTTTGTTTTATTTTGTTTTATTTATTTTGTTTTGTTTTGTTTTGTTTTGTTTTGTTTTTTTTGTTTTTTTTTGTTTTTTTGTTTTTTGTGTTTTTTTGGGTTTTTTGTGGTGATATATGAAGATGGCCATGCATAAAGGAGAAGAGGTATTTTATTTTATTTTATTTTATTTTATTTTATTTTGTTTTGTTTTGTTTTATTTATTTTGTTTTGTTTTTCTTTGTTTTGTTTTATTTGTTTTGTTTTGTTTTTTTTGTTTTTTTGTTTTTTGGGTTTTTTGTGGTGATATATGAAGATGGCCATGCATAAAGGAGAAGAGGTATTTTATTTTATTTTATTTTATTTGTTTTATTTTATTCTGTTTGTTTTGTTTTGTTTTGTTTTGTTTTGTTTTGTTTTATTTTGTTTTGTTTTTTTTTGTTTGTTTTGTTTTTTTTTGTCTTTTTGTTTTTTGTTTTTTTTTGGGTTTTTTGTGATATATGAAGATGGCCATGCATAAAGGAGAAGAGGTATTTTATTTATTTTATTTTATTTATTTCTTTTTTATTTTGTTTTTTTTTGTTTTATCTATTTGTTTGTTTTATTTATTTATTTTGTTGTTTAGTTGTTTTTTGTTTTTTTTGTTTTTTCTTTTTTTTGGTTTTTTGGTGGTGATATATGAAGATGGCCATGCATAAAGGAGAAGAGGTATTTTATTTTATTTTATTTTATTTTATTTTATTTTGTTTTATTTATTTTGTTTTATTTTATTTTATTTTATTTTATTTTATTTTATTTTGCTTTGTTTTATTTGCTTTGTTTATTTTGTTTTCTTTATTTTATTCTATTTTATTATATTTTATTTTATTTTATTTTATTTTATTTATTTTGTTTTATTCTGTTTTATTTTGCCTTGCTTTATTTTATTTAATTTTTATTTAATTTTTATTTTTATTATTTTTATTTTTATTTTTATTTTATTTATTTTGTTCTGTTTTGTTTTATTTGTTCGTTTGTTTGCTTGTTTTAGTTGTATTTATTTATTTATTTATTTATTTTGTATTAGCATATATATATATATATATATATATATATATATATATATATATATATATATATATATATATAT